CGAGCAAGTATACAAATGCTGAAGGAGTTGAACGGAAGATTGCGCTGCACACAGTTGCTTGTAGCAAAACGACGGCCACCGAGTTGTGCTTCATAAGTTGACAGCACGGCTACATGCGATTTCCTTCTTCGGGCAAACCGTGCTGAAGCAACTCTCTCTTCTCGGGCTGCTAGATATTTCCATAGTGCGTTGTTCGTTTTTTCAGGCACCTGCACCTTACTGGACCAAGACCTTAGGCCAGGGTCAATCGTCGTCGCAACCCCCGGATCATTAGGCTGCTACACAAACTATGCGTTTTTCGATGGAACAGCTGGATATTACACGCGAACTCAAGGTACCTCTGCATGATACAGGAGCGGTTACCCCCGTCAGTAGCATCTACGAGTGTCTGAATGTCCATTACTAGGCTAACTCTTCAGTTGATCGCTGTATCCTGCCCCGCCCAATGCATGCCGCAGCGGGCTAATCATACAGCCCCCAGTGGTGCGAATGAAGCGCAATGAGTTTTGCTTTCCTGAAGCTTGCACGGGAGCCCCATAGACTGCGCAAATTCGCGGAGTACTTGCATGCGCTGCGTTGTGCTAGTAGAGATGAAGCCGTACATTATTACGAGGCCTTGCGCAGCCGATCCGGAGCTCTCCAGGTGCGGCTTTCCTTCTTCGTCATGCAAGCAGAATCCCCGCGAGTTCCTGAGGCGTCGTGCAGATTGTTTGCATATCCCCTTGTTTGTCCATTTGTTTTGCACAGGCTCATATACCGGCACGTTGNTCGTGCAGATTGTTTGCATATCCCCTTGTTTGTCCATTTGTTTTGCACAGGCTCATATACCGGCACGTTGCAGCTCATGATCCGGAATCAGTCTTTGAAGGTCAGCAACGGCGCTTGAAGCGTGGTGACTCTTCTGAGTATCAGTATATTTCCTGTTGTGCCTTTCGCATGCACTGAACAGGTGCTGAAGTTTTGCATGCATGCAACTGTTTCAGACACAATATTTTTGCCACCCCTCAATCTCGGGGGTTCATGCGACACAGGGTTGAACGTATCGGCCGAGACTTTCTACAGTTGCCAGGCGCGCGAAGATCAGCTGTTTCGGGTACGTTGAGCAGGATGCTGTGTTGCAGCACCACTGGGTAGTGCAATACTACTCATTACCCTGTCGTATCTGTCGCAGTTCATGCTGCAGCATGACCAGGACGGAGGGTACCAAACCCACAGGCGGGAACATCATTGTTAGTATGCCTTCTTGCCGCAGGATGAAAACGAAAACCTCTTGGAAACATTGCTGCTCTGCGGCGCCCAAACAATGGAAATGGAAACGCATCAGCTGCTGCATTTAGCATCCAGAAGAGTAGAACTCATGAAGGCAGCAGCAGTTCACATTGGAGTGACCAGTCGTACTAACGACCAGTTCATGCATCCTATCACGGTAAGAAGCCAGCGTAGTCACCGTGGCAAGATGAGNGTCGTACTAACGACCAGTTCATGCATCCTATCACGGTAAGAAGCCAGCGTAGTCACCGTGGCAAGATGAGTTCATTCTGTCATTCCACTTGGGAGAGCACGGAAATTTCCAAGTGTGCTTCCAGCAATACATCTAGTGTAGACTCGCGTGTTTACGTACATCCAGCAATGAGTAGCCCGCCTCTCTGTTGCTTGCGCTTCAGCCTTCCCAGCTGAACGAGCTGGTGACTGTAGCGGGCAAAGCCTGTCTCGACGCCCTCGTGGACGTGGCAATATGAGGGATTCGGAGGACAGCTGTAAGTGGCAGCTACCAGTTGATTAAGAAAAATTGTAGAGAGCAGGAAACGCGCGATAAAAGGGGCAAAGTAAAGGGATATGGAAGCATTCTCGACATAAAACGCGAGGACTCAGACCCTCCCCTTCATCACCACGGACAAGAAAGTCCACCAAGCTGAAAACGCGCGCCAAAAGAATTATAAAAGGCAGTTGTATAAGGGGTTCATCAAAATATCCACGAGCCCTTCAGAGCTCTCCATTGTTTTTGCAGATATTTTTAACGGTGTCGCACTGCAAAAACAATGTTTCTGCCCCATACCCAGCAATGGTAGAGGAGCACAGGACGGTACATCAGCATTGTGTTCTGCACATGTACATCCTATAAGTATAAAACCGATTTCACACACTTCTACTGCCATCAAGGCACCAGAACCATCCAGCGTACAGCACCCTGGTTTAAGTGTTCGTCACCATTAACAAACTCGAGAGAACGAATTCGTGCTTCAGTCGGAAACGCGAGGGTTCATGAAACACGAACTCCTTCTACGCAAAGAAACTCAGAATCCCTGCTTAGCATTTCTCTGGCATTGATCACAGTAGCACTATATTACTCTCAAGCCAGTGGGTCACCCACAAAAGTTTATCTACGGCCTTTCAGTCGCAGATGGGTAGGCACGCGTGCCTGACTCTAGATCCAAGGCACGCGTGCCTTGGATCTAGTGTGGGCAGCATCGCAAATTCAATTCACATACGAACACCGCTGCCCATCACAGGTCATGACATCTAGCCATTTCTGCGCACCCTCCCTCTGTAGAAGTGGGTGGCTCGAGCACGGACCATATGGTCTTGACGCCATCTCGGGTGTCTAGGGGCCTGCTTCCCAACCAGGTACGGCGTGAGGTGCTTGGGTATTCCCCTGCTTCGAGGTGGGGGAGACGTTAACGCTTGTTTGTGGCGGGGATTCGCGTTGCAGTCCACTCCAAGGATTGGAACGTGCCACCGACGGACCACATAGCGGCAGCTGCTGCAGAGGAGCTCCAGAACCCCGCGATGCCACATGAGACGAGGGGAGCTAGGGTGACTAAGAGCAAATAATGAGAGACGCGGGTTTACGGGTGTGGCTCCGCATGGCGTTGAATCTCCTCCGTCTGTTTGATGAACTGCAGCTGAGCTAGAAGGCGTCGACACATCTCCTCTATAGTCGGCTGTCACTGCACCCCCAGCTCCTTGGTATACTTGAAATGAGCTGAACTCTGATCTGCAGCGGCCATGTGAGAAATTCTTATCAAGTGAACCAACAGGCGAAGCTGGGGGAACGATGACTCCAGCGAGTGTGGCGGCGCTCCTCCGCAGCCCACTTGCGACAGGATAACTGAAAAGATTGTTGGGCACAGCAAGTGCATGAAGACGATCAGGTCTGTGCCAAGGATACTTCGGAACGAATGTCTCTCCTTGCCGGAGCAAGTCACNGCATGAAGACGATCAGGTCTGTGCCAAGGATACTTCGGAACGAATGTCTCTCCTTGCCGGAGCAAGTCACACCGACGCTCCTGTTTCTGGGGGGTGGCCGTGTGGCTGCACGTGGCAGCCGTAGTTCGAAAGCTGGAGCACCGGACGCCCCGGGCGATAGAAGTAACCTCCCGCTGCAGCATCAAGTAAATATGCTGAAGTGTCATTGTGAATCTCTGCCTTTCCCAGATGGCAATCGATAGTTCAACTGGGTACCGCAGGTGCCGCAATGTCGGCCATAGCACCCAACCGAGGATAAAATATTTCAATGAACATGGAGAAGTTCATTTCGCAGATACAACATCATCATATTTCTGGAAGAACTGCAATTATACCCCACGTACGGAGCTAAGAGCCCCGGACGCTCTACAGTCACTCCGGCACGGTGCTCTGGGGGCTTGACGTTCACAGGCGCTCCACTGCTGTCGGCGGCGAGGAAAAAAAGATGCTTTCCTCTCTCATTAAGATTATTGCTTTCATATATACTACAGTTTCCAATTGGGGGTACTTTTTCTATGATCTTTGCTCACCAGGCGCGTCGTATATGACACTTTGCCAGACGCTCCTGCCGCTACTGAAATGAAGACGCCTGGGATGATGAACTCATTTTGGAGTCGTTTTTCCTGCTGAGTCCTGAGGTATTGTGTCCGTCTACGCTGAAAGGGAAAGAAAAGCTCAAGAGGAGCAACACCCAGTCGTCCCGTACTCGCTGAGCAGCTCGTGGGCCCGTGTGCTAGCGCTCAGGAAGCGCAGCATAGCTGGGGAACGCGCGTGCCTGCACCAGGTTCTTGGGCTGGAATTTAACCACAACTACAGCTGCATACGGGTGTGAAAGGCAATATATACCTAGCGGAGTGCCGAGGGGTCACTAGACCGCGAAAGGCTGCAGACACACAAGCCACACCTTGTCTCTGGCATTTGTGTGCACCAGGAAAGGCTGGCACACGCTGACCCGTAGAGGTGTGCTGACGCGGGTGGCCCCCTCTCACAACCTGTGGCCCGCAGCATCATGCAGGGGATGTTCGGACGTTACTTGCCGCCGGCTGGGGTGGCGAGTCTACACAAATACGCTTATGTTTCAGGCCACCGTACTCCGTTTGATACCCTCATGAATCCTTGGTGGGAAGCAGTGGAGAAGCTTGTTCCTCATTGTGTACACCCGAACACGTTGACAGTATCTAGCTGCACCTGCGCTATTATTGGCTGCTGCTTGCTGCTGGGATTCTGCCCCTATCTGTCTGAGATCCCCCCCCGCTGGGTCTTTCTAGTGGCAGCAGCTCTCTTCTTCTTATACCAGACTCTTGACGCAATCGATGGGAAGCATGCACGCCGCCTCGGCCTCTCCTCCCCGCTA